CTATATTGGGGATTTTTTTTTTTTTTTTTAAAGGGAAAAATTTTTTTTTTAAAAATTTTTTTTTTTTTTTTTTTTTTTTTTTTTTGCTCTCCATGTGTCTTTATATCACAGAGAGCACCTGGGCAGATCTGTGAAAGCTGGCGGAGGCGCTTTTTAAAGCTGCAGAGATTGGGGTGATGGTAACAGCACGGACCCTTTTGTGTCAGTCTGTGAATCTATATGTCACACAGACCTCCTCCCCACCTCTGGCAAGAGAGTTAAGAAATTAGAGCTCCTATTGTGCAGAGGACAGACAAGGGCAGCAGTCAGAGCGTGAAGAGCCATGAGCGGAGAATTTACTACAAAAAAGCCAAAGTGTCACTCAGAAAGCTAATAAGCTCACAGACACCTAGTTGTGAGATCAGCTGAAATTAATTGTAGTTTGTCAGCGTGATCAATGTGTCGTAAGGTGATTGTGTAATCGCTCACTTGTGGGACTACGTCTCGTAATTTTAGGCTCTCTGTAGTAATTTCACAGCAGAAACAGGGGCTTGCACAGAGGCTGGTTGTAAGAGTTAGAAAGTGGTTTTTTTTTAGGGATGAAGTAAGGCATGACAAGAACTTCTGCTAGTCCTACATCATCTGAGGGAAGATATTTAATGGCTGGACAAACTTATGCATCTTCCGCCTTGCTGAGGTTTTCTTCTGTAAGAATACAAAGTGCAGATGATGGCAGGTGGCAGAAATTAGTCTTTAGCAGAAGAACTTAGAAGAGAACAGCTTTCTGCTCTTCCAGAGGAGATTATTAATGTATTAGAAAAGTAAATGAGCATTAGGTTATGTTTTTGAGTGTATGAATGTTTTATTCTCAACAAAAAAAAAAAAAAAAAAAATCACTATTATCAAGAAAAAATGGCCACCAGGGTTACCATGTTAATGTTGCTTCAAAACTAAAATAATGACTTTTAGTATTTATCTGTCCGTGCAGATGCCACTTATCACAGCAGCATCAACATTTCAGTTCTCAGTCATACTATCTATGCAAATGGTTTAACGGTGTGGTGAATAACAATACAACATCTGTACCTTTTTTAAAATTAAAAATGCCAAAGAAACTATGTATTATATTTAGACCTCTTTCCTTTGTAACCCCTCAAAGTTGCAGTAAGTAACTTTTATAGTTACTTACTATAAAAGTTATGTTTATATATGTATTTGTTAAAACCGTCATCATGTCATGACAGAATAATAATATATTTGCCTCTTCTTATGGTCCTTCTGCCAGCAGAAATACACCATTCGGTCAGAAGCAACCAATGAGAGCCAGGAGGGAGGGTCTTAGTGCTGTTAATCAGGCTGTATGTGCTGCTCACATCCTCCTCTTGCCGATGGCGGTGGATAAACAGCAAGTTGTTTTTCCACCATTAGCACAGCTGCATCACATTGTCAAAGTCTGTATTGACCCATGGGGCTAAATGCACTCCACACTTGTCAGATTTTCATTTGTACAACACTTTAAAAGTCATGCAACAACTACTGGCGACTTCATGTTGGTCCGCCCCATCAGATAACACTTTACATTTAGGTTTATAATCTTACTGTGACAAACTCTGGAAAAAAAAAAAATCCTAGAGTTGATAAGTGCAACATGTATAACTGTACGTACATGCTCATATGTTCATACCTGGAAAGATACTGTCCAGAAGACGGTAGTTCATGCCTGTTTGGTTTGTCGTAACAGTTTACCAAGTTCTGAACCAGCGCCAACTCCGGCTTTACCATGGTGGCCGTAGTGACCGCTCGACCAACCAGCTGCAGGGCATCCCGTATGTAGAAGCTTATCGGCTTGCGTCCCACCTCCCCATAGGCCAGCAGTCCAAGGGGACCTCCCAGAGTGTGCAGAGAATCAGGGGACAAAGGATATCCCATGATCCACTGCAGCGCTGGAAGTGACGGGGCAAGGCGCTGAGCGGCTCGCAGGACAGATGACAGACACTCCGGGTCAGATCCCATGAGTAGCACGGAGGAGATCGGCGAGGGGGAGCGCAGGAAGCTGGAAGAGATGATGTTCAAAGCCTCCTCTTCCATTTGATCCTCCCTCCTCTCCTCGCTGGCCTCCCCCCTTCTCTCTCTGCCGCCGGTGATGAGCGTCAGGTTGATAATATCCCACAAATGCCAAGCAGGACCGCTGTGCCTCTGCAGGTGAGTCAGCAAGCCGTCGCTGCCTTCATCCCATCCGGGGCAGATCACAGCTGCTCCTCCCCATCTGCCTTCTCCTCTGCTCCCTCTGTCCCTGTCCCCGTCGCCGCTCTGCAGGACCGCCAGCAGCAAGCTGCCCAGGGTTGATGGAGGCACGCGGGCCGGCATTTGGAGGTGAAAGTGGTTCTGGAAAAGATGGAAGAAGAATCGGAGAAACATTTTAGCAGCAGCAGCAGATACATAAACAAGAAATTTTTAAGTATGAAAGACAGACATAGAGGAAGAGGAGAGGGTAAGGGGTAAAAGAAGGAAGAAGATCAGACGTGAGATTAATGAATACCGCGAAAACACCTTAGGGCTAGGCTACCATTAAAACACAGCTTTTCTAAACACCAGAGACTGCAGTTCCTGACACTGTGGCTATTTAACTCAACACAGATCAGAAATAATCAAGTGGTCATATTTGCTCATTATCTCTCACTCCGAATGAAAAGAGGCGTACTGATTCAAACAAGGAGTCAATGATTCGCATCTAATCTGCAACATCACAGTTGGCTTGGCAGGACAACAGTAGCATCCACAGTTCATCCAGGAGCCGGCATTCCCAAACCCCAGCGAAAACACTGGCCTGTTTCATACTGTTCCAAAATGGATAACACTGTTGTCCTTGAATGCAGCTCACAGATGCCCCCCCCCCCGCTTCCTTTGAGAGGCTCTATCCATTTTTCATCCTATCACTGCTCCAGGCAAGGTTGATAGGGGGCTGGTAGGGTGGGGGCGTTTGTATAGACAAGGCAAAGTTTGGTCATAGATGATTTAAGATTTGCTCTGGATTCCTCCGTCTCAGTAGCCATTATGACAGAACAGTAGGGTGACTTAATTATGGAAATAATATATTTTCTTCATTATTGAAATTGCAGTCTGTTCTGTCCTTTACAATGGAGGTGGTTGTTTTTATTTATTTATTTTATTTTATTTCTGTTTTGTTTACGGTGTTTGGGTCAACAACAAGCAGGATAATAGAATATTCCCACTGTTGCAAAATTGACACTTTTCAGTACAAAAGAAACATCCCACACCGTAGTAAGGCAAGGTTTCCTCTGACTGCTTTAATAATAAGTGGTTGAGTCAGGCTCCTATCTTGAATCTGCAAGAAAATATGTGGAGGGAAGTAAATATTTGTCTAATGACAAGAAGACTATTAAATTGAAAGACTCATTTTGGTTTTTTTTTATTAATACTCTTTTTATCCTTTGATAATTCAAAATATGATTCGTTTCCTATAAGAAACAAATTTCTTGGTTCAATAAAAAATATCTAAATCTGCCAACAATGCAAGTCATTTTGGGTTGAGCTGCACTGTGAGATGTACAAGTAGGCACGCAAGGGCATGTGAAAGCTGCATTGGTTGGACCCGTCCACCCCGCAGGCCCATGTCTGTCACGCAGTGCAAACCCACTCACTGACCGCAGTCGGAGGATCCCACCCCGACTCAGACAATCGCCATAAAATCCCAACAAACCAAAGAGAAACACAACCCTCCGTAAAGACCACAAACGCCGCCCCTCCAACACCACCGGTAAATGGCGGCTGGACTGGCGCCCCTTGGAGCGACATCGACACCTTGCAGTTAGTTGCACACGGCTTCTTGTAACCTAAAAATTGGTGGTGACACAAAGTCAGCCCTAGCGGTCCAAAGACCCTCCCAAACATCTCCGGTCAGGCTGCGAAAACAACTCATGAAAGCTCTGCATATCCATTGAACCAGGAAGCGGAACGTCTCACACACACACACGCACACACACACAAAAAAAAAACGGAACAAAAACAACAAATCGAGGGTGCGACACCACAATAGACATCCACTTAGAGAAGAAGAATGTGTTTGTTTCTACCACTGTTTTCAACAAAGACTACTTAAGTGGCATGCCTCGGAGCTGCACGCAGTCAAGGTTTCAAACATGCAATCGCTCTGTTGAATAAAGCCTCACTCTCATGTTGAATATAACCCCTTCACGACTATTTGAAAGGGAACTAATCTGGGTTTAGCTTGAAAATCTTTTATGAATTGCTGAACTATTTAAACAAGACCATTCATATTTAAGAAACACTTATTAGCAGTGTTGTGTTCAAGACCACCTAACCCGAGACCAAGACAAGACCAAGACCAGAGTGTATCAAGACCGAGACAAGACCA